AGTTCTGTAATTTAATAAGGTTCATAAGTTAGGACAGTAAAAAATGCCTTTTGACTTTTTTTTTTTTTTTAATTAATTTATTTGACAAGCAGAATTACAGACAGTGAGAGAGAGAGACAGAGCAAGGTCTTCCATCGATGGTTCACCCCCCCAAATGGCTCCCTAAATGGCCACAATGGCTGGAGCTTCGCCAATCCGAAGCCAGGAGCTAGGTGCCTCCGCCTGGTCTCCCATGTGGGTGCAGGGGCCCAAGCACTTGGGCCATCCTCCACTGCTTTCCTGGCCACAGCAGAGAGCTGGACTGAAGAGGAGAAACCAGGACTAGAACCCAGTGCCCATATGGGATGCTGACTCCTCAGGCAGAGGATTAACCTAGTGTGCCACGGCGCCGGCCCCATGATCTTTGTTGTTTTAACCACTTGATATTCTGGGTGTCTTCCTTCCTTTAAGATAATAAATACCAGGCTGTAGACTAACTTAATGTTAGCCATATAATGCTGGTAACACTCAAATGGGTTTAAAATATAAACATCTGTGGTTTAGCACATTGTTTTGGGAGAAGATTATCCCTTCAATATATAATAGATGCAAGTACATACAACTGGGTGATAGGAGGGAACTATTTTTATTATGGGAATGATAGAGAAAGGGACAGATCCTTTTCTAAGAGGAACAGATCACATTAATAAATAATTCCCTTACAAACTTGTGATCTGGGGCTGAATGTCACAGGAATTTTGGAATAGTATTAAATAGCCTTACTTTTCTCTCTTTAATACTAAATTTACCCAATTTAATAACTTTTAAGGAAACAATATGGAATATTCTGTTGTAAAATTACCTGTTACCTAACTCCATCATTTCATAGCTTGCATTGTTCATAGAAAAGAATTTAAGCTAAATCAAATGTTTTGGGAGACAAAACGAGAGAGATTAAAATATGTCAAATATGTTTCCTAAGAAAGCATGTCTCTAACGTAAGATACACATGACAATTTCCATCTCATTAAATCTTTCATGAAAAAAACTCTAGAAAATAAATGTAAGTACTTATTTATATTATTTAGTATTTAAAAGGAAATAATATAAAAGTAGAGATCTAGTATTTTTAAAATATTTATCAGATTACCTAAAATTTGTCACACAAAAATCAAAATATTAATATTATGCATAGGTTTTCTTAATAACTTACAAAAACAAGCAAAAAATATCCATCACTCCAAAAAGCTACAAACAAATAACTCTCTAAATTGGAAGGAAGACAAGTATGAACTTCAAAGAGTTCATTTTACTTACTTACTTTGCATGTTTAGAAACACTGGTGACACTGAAATAACCCAGCACAAACATGATCAGTCTGTATACATCTGACCATACTGGCACAGTGTGGATCTTGCTGATCAAACGGATGTATTTTTTTTGGAAATGTTTTGAGGAACAGTGCCTAAAATTGTACAAATTTAACAATACATTTTTAGCAAAGTTTACATGTGAAGGGGGAGGATCAAAGCTAATAAGTCTTTTGGCTTTCTTACAGAAGGTATCATTATAATTCCACAACTGTCAGGATGGAGTATTTTTGTAGGAAAAATCAACTGACTACAAACTATGTTGCCTCTGTTGTTTTACATGTCAAAGTCACTTGCAGATTCTGGTCTGCTGTTATCTGGCCCATCACTTTCCTTGTCCCAGTCTTTCATCGATGCTTCCATCGTGAAATCTTCACGTTGGGTCATCCACCCTGGGCCCTCTTCCCATTTTGCTTGTCTGTTTGGCTTTGAGATCTTTCCTTTTGAACTTTTCTCATTTGTACTTCATCCATTCCTCTCAGAACACTGATGAAATCTTTCTTAGAAACAGTTGATATCAACTTAGCACACTTGCTAATAGAGCCTCCAGCTTCTTAAACCTTTTCATCAGCATTCTTTTGATCTTTTTGAACAGCATTAAATAATGGCACCATTCCCCTCGTTGGAGTTCTCTGAAGATTTCACTCTGCTTCTTTGTCTTTGACAATGTGTGGCTTTACTCTGCACATCATTTCCCACTCCTGCTTCATACCAAGCTGTTTTCTTCTCTCAAGTCTTTCTTGCTTTAACTTTTCGTTTTCCTTTTCCAGTTCTTTATTTTTCACTAGAATGGTGGGTTTACTTTTTTTTTTAATTTTTTTTTTTTTTTATTTTAAAGAGAGAGGTGGAGTGAGAGAGAGGGAGAGAGAGGTCTTCTATTTGCTTGTTCACTTCCCAAATGACCACAACAGCCAGAGATGAGCTGATCCAGAGCCAGGAGCCTTTTCTGGGTCTCCCATCCGGGTGCAGGGGCCCAAGGACTTGGGCCATCTTCACTGCTTCCCCAGGCCATAGCAGAGAGCTGGATCAGAAGAGGAGCAGCTGGGACTCGAACTAACGCTCTTATGGGATGATGGCCCTGCAGGCTGGTGCTTTAACAAAGCACTGCCCCCAGTGGGTTTACTTTTAGGAGTTTTCTTGGTAAAGATTTTAGCCGTGGCATCTGCCCAGCCCGTATTAGTCCCAGCAGATGATTCTGTAGGAATTTTATTTTCTTTGTCACAGGGTTCAACATCATGCTTATTGTCAGCGTCTGTTGCTGACCCTTTTCCTGATGCACAGCATCCTACAGATCCTCCACCATTGGAAGCATCTCTCACCTCCTCTTCCAGCTCCGATGCTTTGACTTTGACTGTCATTTTCACATTCTTTAGCGAATTTTTTAACCTTTTCCCCCATACTCACACGTGAACTCTGAATGGCCACAGCTATTTTTCTCTCATCATAAGTATCTCTACATTGTGATTTTAACTACATTCCCCTGGTTGAAGTTTACTGGAATTGAGTTGAGCAAGTTTTCCTATGCTTTTTGTATCTTTTGTGAAGTATCTTAAGTCTTATTGCCCATTTTTGTTTTTACTTTTCGTTTTTAATGGACATAATTTTATTTATGGGGCATAGTGTGATAATTTGATACCTGTGTGTAATGTGTGATGATTAAACCAAAGTGGTTATCTTTTCTGTTTTCACATTTCTTAGTCTTTGGGGTCTTTGAACTCTTCTGTGGTAATTAATAGGTTGTAAACTATAGTAACTACTGTGCTATCGAACACTAGAACTTACTCTTCCTGTCTACCTGTGTTTTGATACTCAACTTCCCTCTTTTCCCCCTTCCTCCTCAGCCTATAATAATCACTGCTTTGCTTTCTTCATTGAAATCAACTTTTTAAGCTTCCACATTCAAGTAAGAACATAAAGGAGTTGTCTTTCTGCGTTTGGCTGATTTCATTCAGCGTGTCCTCTAGTTTTCTCCATTTTGCTACAAATGGCAGGGTTTTATTCATTGTCTTTCATTAATTGTAGAATTTTTCTTTTTAATTTGAGAGGCAGAGAGAAAGAAAAAGAGAGAAAGAGACCACTCCCATCTGTGGGTTCACTTTCAGAATACCCACAATGGCCAGGTCTGCACCAACCTAACGCCAGGAGCTGGGAATTCAATCCACATGAGTGGCAGGAACCCAAGTAATTGAGCCGTCACCTGCTGCCATCCCAGGTGCACATTAGCAGGAACCTGAAATTAGGAATGCAGCAGGGACTGGAACCCAGCTACTCAGAAATGGAATGTGGTTGTCTTAAGTGTTTTTTTTTTTTTTAAGATTTATTTTATTTAGTTGAAAGGCCCAGTTAGAGAGAGACAGAGAGGTCTTATATCTGCTCATTCACTCCCCAAATGGCCGCAGAGACTGGGACTGGGCCAGGCAGAAGCTAGGTGCCAGGAACTTCTTCAGGGTCTCCCACGTGGGTGCTGGGGCCCAAGTACTTAGGCCATCCTTTGCTGCTTTCCTTGGTGCATTAGCAGCAAGCTGGATCAGAAGTAGAGAAGCCCGGGGCCGGCACTGTGGCGCAGTGGGTTAATGCCCTGGCCTGAAGCATCGGCATCCCATATGGGCACCAGTTCGAGACCCAGCTGCTCCTCTTCCGATCCTGCTCTCTGCTATGGCCTGGGATAGCAGTAGAAGATGGCCCAAGTCCTTGTGCCCCTGTACCCACATAGGAGACCTGGAAGAAGCTCCTGGCTCCTGGCTTTGGATCGGCGCAATGGATTGGCTGTTGCAGCCATCTGGGGAGTGAACCAACGGATGGAAAACCTATCTCTCTCTCTCTCTCTCTGCCTCTCTGCCTCTCCTCTCTCTGTGTAACTCTTTCAAATAAATAAATCTAAAAAAAAAAAAAAAAAAATTGGAGAAGCCGGGACTTGAACTGGCACCCATATGGGATGCCAGCATCGCAGGTGACAGCTTTATCTGTTATACCACAGCACCAACCCCAAAACTGGTGTCTTAACCAGAATCTTTACTATATTAAATGTCTGCCCTATGTATGAATTTTTTTATGTGGTTTAGATGTGAATCCATTGTTGAATATATGTAATTACAAATATTTTCTCTCACTTCTCACAGGGAGTCTTTTTGTGAGAATTTCTTTTTTTTTTAAGATTTATTTTATTTGAGAGGCAGAGTTACAGAGGGAGAGAGAAAGGTCCATCTGCTGGTTCACTCCCTAAAAGGCTGCAATGGCTGGAGCTGGGCTGATCTGAAGCCAGGAGCCAGTAGCTTTTTCCGGGTTTCCCACATGGATGCAGGGGCCCAAGCACTTGGGCCATCTTCCACTGTTTTCCCAGGCCATTAGCAGAGAGCTGCATTGGAAGTGGAGCAGCTAGAACTTGAATTGGTGCCCATATATGAAGCCTGTGCTGCAGGCAGAGGCTTAACCTTAACAGTGCTGGCCATGAGAATTTCTTTAATGTAGGCCTATTTGTGATTTGTTTTCCTTTATAAAGTGGTTATATATATGTGTGTATGTAATTATATTTGAGAAACCTTTTCTTCTGAGGTTTTGCTCATTTTTTATTCTTTTTTTTGGACTCAGTATTAGCTGGTATTACTTGAGTTTGAAAAAAATCCATCTTCCTCCTATGTATTCTTTCACCAGAGTGGGTGTGAAGGATGTTGCTGGTATTCATTTGCCATCAAATGTGAAATTTCAGAGTCCAGCATATTCTTCTGTAGATACTGAAAAAACGGTTGAACCTTATACAACTGAAAAGATGAGTCGAATTCCTGGAGGATATCTGCCTTTGACAGACTGCTTTGAAATTATGACAGTAGATTTCAATAATCTTCAGGTAAATAAAAGTGCAGCTACTGTTTTTAAGCATTACATTTCATTCATTATTTAAAATAATTAACATCTAGGACAGTCTTATAAATTTGCATGAGATACCACATACTTTATGTAAAAAAGTAATCTAAAGGTAATTGAAATTCCCTCCTGAAATTACTCACAATTTAAATAACAGAAGGAAAAAAAAACCTCTGAGATTTGTTGGGTATACATTGTGTGCCAGGTACTTTTACATGGATTCTTAGGGAGCTCTTAGGACAGCTGCAGTAGAGTTTTACTTATCCTGTGTGATACCACTGTGAAAACTTGTTCACATTAAATAATCTCTCCCAAATTATTCAACTTGTGAATGCAAGGACAGGCAGTGTAATGTAGGTCTTTCTGACTTTTCTCTCCCTTCCTCCCTCCCTCCCTCCCTCTCTTCCTTTCTTTTAGATTTATTTGGCTTATTTGAAAGAGTAACAGAGAGGGGGAGAGACACAAAGAAAGAGATCGTCTGTCTACTGGTTCACTCCCCAAATAGCTTCAATGGCTGGGACTGGGCCCATTAGAAGCCAGGGGAACTCCCATCTGGGTCTGCTGCTTTCCCAGGCACATTAACAGGGAGCTGGATTGGAAGTAGACCGGCCAGGACTTGAACCAGTGGCAGCTTAACTCACTGTACTGTAATGCAGGTCCCTTGACATTTTTAAATGTCATTCTGCCATTTCAAAGTAGCAGAATTCCTTGAAATGAGTAATAAGACTAACTCTGGGTTGTATTTGTGTTGTGGTGACCAGCTATCTCAGTTTGCCCAGGAGTGGGGAATTCCTGACAGAGGGGACTTTAAACCAGGACAGTCCTGGGAAAAGCAGTACATATTGATCACCGTAGTGTGTGTATGTCTTTGTTGGTGAGTAGTGAGAATATGTGCAGTATAAATGTGCGCAAAGAAATTGAGAAAGATTACGTAATATCCTTCTCTGAAGGTCTTTCATAAAGTTGTGTTAAATGGTCAACTATGTAAGATTAATTTGCCTGGGACAACTTAATAGATGCTTTCTCCTAATAATCATTAATAGATTGTTCTTGAGGTGGTTTGGAACCAGTTTAAGTGTTTGCCATTGCTTACTGAGACTGAGCTGTCTTTCTGTACTTCAAGAGCATTCCTTATCTAATAAAGCATTTCAATGGAGAATAGTGTGATTGTAGCTGCTAATTACTCCCAGCTTTTACTATTTTAAACCTTTATTATTTCAATTTTTATTTCCCACAAACATACAAACCTTATTAAGCTTTTGATTTTGGAATTAATGCTGCCTGCTGAATGCTTTCAAGCAATTCAGAAGAATAGAAAGGAAAAAAGTCATTGTGTTTTTCTTCCCTTTAAAATCTTGGCCCTTCTTTCCCAGGTCTCTTTTTTGAAGTGCATCTTCCCAGACTTGCTTTTCTGTTTTTCTACAAATACATTACCCATCTCAACCCACCCCCCATCAAATAGTCCCTGTTGCTTTGCCACTTGCTTTTTTCATTCAACTGTATGTCATGGACTTATTTCCACATCAGTAATTTGTTTGTGCCTTGTCCTTCTGAATACAGTTGCATAGTATTCTGGTAGGTCATAGCATCCCATCCAGTGTACCTTGGGTGGTTATGGGTGTGCCAAGATACTGAGTCCTTAAGGGTGCCGAGCAGGACTGAGAACGTCTCAGAACATGGTGTGATGTTGAAGTATGAATATATTAAATGTAGACAATTTTCTCATTGGTTTTGCTTCATTCTCAGGAATTAAAAAGTCTTGCAACTAGAAAGCCAGATCAGATTTGTATTCCTGTTATGAAAGAAGGCATTCTAGATGCTATTGTGGTTTGGTTTGTGCTCCAGCTTGATGATGAATACAGTCTATCCACAAGTCCCAGTGAAGCAACATGTTGGGAACAGGCTGTCTACCCTGTACAGGACCTTGCAGGTAGGACTTGTCTAGCTTAGGTTTTAAATTCGTTGCTTTAGTTCTGTAATACTTCTAGTGGGTGTTCTCCTGTGTCCTCGTTACTCCTAAATTATGGGTATGAAGTTTCTAGTCAAATGAGGTTGGTTAAATCTTTCAGTATTTCCTTTTTCTTTTTCAAAAGGAATTTTTACTAGTTAATATATGTAAAGAAGAGAGAGTAAAGCTTTGCCACATGTCACTCAAAGATACCTATCATTAAATAATTTCTTCAGCTGTGGTTTTTCTAGTTATCACTAGATGAAAGAGATTCTTTTCCTTTTTTTTACTGGAAAGTATCAGGAATGTATTGCTTTTAATGAAGGAATTCCATGGAGAATTTTATGGCATCTATGGAAGTCCAGGTTATAAAAACATCCTCCCTTATATAAGCACAATAATGCCAATTTCAGGGAGTTTATGGATCCCCAACCTTTCCCAAAGAAGTTCTGTATTTTTTTTTTTAAAGATTTATTTATCTGTTTGAAAGGCAGAGATAAAGAGAGAGAAGGTGAGAGAGACAGAGATTGATTGGTCTTCCATCCCGTTGGCTTACTCCCTAAAGGGCTGCAAAGGCCAGGGCTGGGCTGGAGCTGGGCCTGGCTGAAGCCAGGAGACCATCCAGGTCTCCCATGAGAGTGGCAGGGGCCCAAGCACGCAGGTCACCCTGGTCACCCTCTGTTGTCCTCTCAGGTGCACCAACAAGGGGTTGGATCGGAAGTGGAGCAGCCGGGATCCACTGGTGCCTGTGTGGGATGCTGGTGCTGCAGGTGGAGGCTTAACTTTCTGTACCACAGCACTGGCCCTAAGAAGTTCTGTATTAAAGATGCTTTTGAATAGAACTTTTTTTTTGTTTACAGCAATTTGATGGGTTTTAGTAGGTTCACAGCAGTTGAATTATCTAGAAAACTCTACCCATTTTAAAGTGGGAGGTCATATATTTCTGTTTCTGTCTAGTCTTTCATTCAAAGATGTAATTTAGCAAGGTCATTAAGTCATAGAATCTGTATGGTAGTGTGGCTAGTCTGGTGGTTTTGGAATTAGGTATATTTGGTTTCATACTTTGCCTCTGCTACTTGGTGACCTTTCCTGCTAGCCTTGCCAGTTAGCTTGCGGAGATTTTATTGTGTCGTATGTAAAATGAGATTATTTTTTATACTTTACGGTACTATTGTAGGCATTCTTAGAGATAATGGGTATGAAATGCCTACCACAGTGACTGGTACTCAGCAGTGACATTTTTTCTTTGTGTTTATTCTAATTCTCTTGCAGTAACTTACACAAATGACTTTTTTTTTTTTTTTAGATTTATTTATTTACTTGAAAAGAGTTACACAGAGAGATGGAGAGGCGGGGAGAGAGAGAGAGGGAGGGAGAGAGAGAGAGAGGGAGAGAGAGAGAGAGATCTTCCGTCCAGCTGGATCGGAAGTAGAGCAGCCAGGTCTTGAACCGGTGCCCATATGGGATGGCGGCACTTCAGGCCAGGGCATTAACCCACTGTGCCACAGCGCCGGCCCCAACTTTTTTTTTTTTTTTTTTTTTTTTTTAAAGAAAATCCTTCTGGGAAAATGATATTTTAAATGTGTAAACATTGGAATAATAGCTTATACATTTAGTTGATTCTAGGGCTGATGAGAAGGAATTGTGAATATATATTGACATTTTAAAGTTTTAATCACATGTGAAAGTTCATAGAAGAATGATACATAGCTTTTTGGTAGGACTTACTCCTTCTTTATATTTTCACATTCCTAAACATGGCAGGAGTTAAGATATATTACTGATATTTTGTTGAATGCTGCTTTTTTTCTTTTGTAAATTTCTGTTACAGAAAAGAATGTCCTTTCAGCTAAACTAAAGTTAGATATTAAGCTCTGAATTTCATCGATCTTTGTTATCATTAGGTTCATTACCAAAAATGGTAGAGTCCCCTCAGCCCTCTACTCACCTTCCCCTCTCCCCCCAGTTTGGGTATATGGTGGTACCTATTGACTGAAGAAAAAAGCACAGAAATACAGATAGGATAGGGTCCTATAATGAAACTCTTGAATCTCTCCATTAAGCTATGAATTAATAGAATCTTCAAGTTTCACTTTTTCCCTAGGTAAAGGTGGTGGGATATGTAGCTTTCTGTATGTTACACAAAGAGAGAGAATCCTTCCTGTAGTGATTTAAATAATGGAAGAATAGATTGGGAGTTACAGATACTTTTGTGATCCCCAGGCTTACAAGCACTTTATATCAATCCCTTATACTTTTTTTCTTATCATTTAATAAAGACTACTGGATAAAACCTGGGGACCATGTGATGATGGAAGTGTCTTGTCAAGATTGTTACTTAAGAATCCAGAGTATCAACATCTTGGATTTGGAACATGAAATGGATACTACAAAAAGTTTCAACAAGAATAAAGACTTGTTATCTTTGGGAAATGAGGCTGAACTCTGTAATGCCCTTGCTAACCTTCAGACCAGTAAACCAGATGCTGTAGAACAGACATGTGTATTGGAATCCACAGAAATTGCTTTGCTTAATAACATCCCATATCATGAAGGCTTTAAAATGGCGATGAGAAAAGTATTGTCTTCCTTGACACCAGAGAAACTGTGTCAGGCCATGGATACACACTGTCAGGATAATGAGATGAGCTCTGGAGCCGAACAGAGTAATATTGCAGAGAGCACCCCTGAGCCTTTCTACATATTAGATGTGTCTGAAGGCTTCTCCATTCTGCCTGTAATTGCTGGCACACTTGGGCAGGTCAAACCATACAGCTCTGTGGAGAAAGACCAGCATCGCATTACTTTGGACCTCATATCTGAAGCCAATCACTTTCCTAAAGAAACACTTGAGTTTTGGCTGAGACATGTAGAGGATGAATCTGCTATGTTGCAAAGACCAAAATCAGACAAGTTGTGGAGCATAATTATATTGGATGTCATTGAGCCCTCTGGGCTCATTCAGCAGGAAATAATGGAAAAAGCTGCAATATCCAGGTAAAACACAAAGTATAACTTGTGCATTTTTTTTGGCCTCATGTCTCATGTAAATTCTTTTATTACTTTAATGGTGTAACTGCAAAAATGAGTCGGGATGATTGTATGTTCCTCAAGCATTGGTTTTCAGCACTAGTGACTTCTTGCCTTTCTCTTTATGTGCATGCTACTGCTGTACTTTTCTTCTTCTTTTTTTAAAGATTTATTTATTTATTTGAAAGTCAGAGTTAGACAGAGGTGGAGAGGCAGAGAGAGAAAGAGAAACCATCTGCTGGTTCACTCCCCAATTGGCCGCAGCAGCCGGGGAGCTGCGTCAATCCGAAGCCAAGAGCCAGGAGCCTCCTCTGGTCTCCCACGTGGATACAGGGACCCAAGGACCTGGGCCATCTTCTATTGCTTTCCCAGGCCATAGCAGAGAGCTAGATCGGAAGTGGAGCAGCTGGGTCTTGAACTGGCGTCCATATGGGATGCCAGTACTGCAAGCTGCGGCTTAACCTGGTATGCTACATGCTGGCCCCTGTGTATTTCTTATGAAGGAATCTCTGTACTGTACATGAGAAGAAGAAAGCCTGCTTTGGGTTTAGATTGCTGATATATTTTTGGGGAATTAGGTAGAGATTTATAAAAGCACATAATGGGGCCGGCTCCGTGGCTCACTTGGTTAATCCTCTGTCTGCGACATCGGCATCCCATATGGGTGCCGGCTTCTAGTCCTGGTTACTCTTCTTCCACTCCAGCTTTCTGCTGTGGCCCGGGAGAGCAGTTGAGGATGGCCCAAGTGCTTGGGCCCTGCACCCGCATGGGAGACCAGGAGGAAGTACCTGGTTCTTGACTTCGGATTGGCACAGCCCCAGCCGTAGCAGCCATTTGGAGAGTGAACCAACGGCAGGAAGACCTTTCTGTCTCTCTCTCACTGTCTATAACTCTACCTGTCAAAAAAAAACAAAAAACAAAAAACAAAAAACAAACCAGTACATAAGAGGACACAAATGTTTATATTATTTGAGAAGTATGCAAGAAATACCTATAAGAAATATGTAGTTAATATCTGATGGGACTTCCTCTTTTCCAATTTTGATATGATTTATTTTTTCTTCTTCCCTAATTGGCTCATGCTAAAACTTCCAGTACTATATGGAATGAGTGGTAAAAGTAGACATCTGTGTCTTTTTCTAGATCTGGGGGGAAAAACTTAAAATTGTTTTTCAACATTCAGTGTTGTATTGTCTGTTTATTTGTGATTATAGCCTTTATAATTTTGAGGAATGTTCCTTCTATACCTAATTTGTGGAGGGTTTTTAGCATAAATGGGTGATGAATATTATCTAATGCTTTTGCTGCATCTGTTGAGATGACCACATGGTTTTGTTTTTTTTTTTTTGACAGGTAGAGTGGACAGTGAGAGAGAGAGACAGAGAGAAAGGTCTTCCTTTGCCGTTGGTTCACCCTCCAATGGCTGCCGCGGCCAGTGCGCTGCGGCCGGTGCACTGCGCTGATCTGATGGCAGGAGCCAGGAACCAGGTGCTTTTCCTGGTCTCCCATGGGGTGCAGGGCCCAAGCACCTGGGCCATCCTCCACTGCACTCCCTGGCCACAGCAGAGGGCTGGCCTGGAAGAGGGGCAACCGGGACAGAATCCGGCGCCCCGACTGGGACTAGAACCCGGTGTGCCGGCGCGCAGGCGGAGGATAGCTAGTGAGCCGCGCACCGGCCTGACCACATGGTTTTGGTCTTCATTCATGATGTGATTTATCACTGTGTGTGTGCTGTGTGAATGTTGAACCATCACTGTATTTCTGTGTTAATTAATCCCGCTTGATCGTGATGTCTGATCTTTTGGATGTGGTTTTTGACTCCGCTTGCTAGTATATTATTGAGCATCTTTGCATCTGTGTTCATTAAGGATATAGGTCTGTAGTTTTCTTTTTGTGTCATGTCTTTGGTTTTGGTATCAAAGTGATGCCTCATAAAAAGAAACGTTTGGCAGAATTCCATCCTGTTCAATATTTTGGAATAGTTTCAAGAATATTGGAGATACTTCTTTGAATGTTTGTAGAATTCAGCAGTAAAGCCATCAGGTCCTATACATTTCCTTGATGGAAAACTTTTTTGTTTTTAAAGATTTATATATTTATTTGAAAGGCAGAGTTACAGAGAGGCAGAGAGAGAGAGAAGGACAGGAAAAGGGAGAGGGAGAGAGGTCTTCCATCTGTTGATCTGTTGGTTCACTCCTCAGATGGCTGCAATGGCTGGAGCTGGGCTGATCTGAAGCCAGGAGCCTGGAGCTTCTGGGTCTCCCACTTGGGTGCATGGGCCCAAAGACTTGGGCCATTTTCTACTGCATTCCTGGGCCATAGCAGAGAGCTGGATCAGAAGTGGAGCAGCTGGGACTTGAACCTGCACCCATATGGGATGCCAGAACTGCAGGCGGCAGCTTTACCCGCTACACCACAGCACTGGCCCCTCCTTTTTCATCTCTAATTTTATTTATTTGAATTTTTTCTTTTTCTCTTTGTTAGTCTGGCTAGAGGTTTATCTATTTTGTTTATCTTTTCAAAAAAACACTTTTTGTTTTATTGATTTTTTTTTAAGTTGCAATTTCATTTATTTCTCACCTCCTGCTGATTTTGGGTTTTGTTTGGACAAATACACCAGATGGGCAGACATCAACACAGAGACGCAGGAGACATGAAGAAGCAAGGTAGCATCATGCCTCCAAAAGAACACAATACTCCTCCTGAATTAGATCCTGAACTGAAGGAAATCTATGAAATGAGAGATACAGCATTCAAAATAATGATTGTAAGGAAACTCAATGAGATGCAAGAGAATACATAGATATATTAAAGAACTGAGGAAATCAATGAGTGACATGAATGAAAATATTACTAAGGAGATAGAACTCATTAAGAATAACCAAGTAGTGGGGCCGGCACTGTGGCTCGCTTGGTTACTCTTCCAACTGTGGCGCCAGCATCCCATTTGGGCGCTGGGTTCTAGTCCCGGCTGCCCCTCTTCCAGTCCAGCTCTCTGCTGTGGCCTGGGAGGGCAGTGGAGGATGGCCCAAGTGCTTGGGCCCCTGCACCCGCATGGGAGCCTGGGAGGAAGCACCTGGTTCCTGACTTCAGATTGGAGCAACACCAGCCGTAGTGACCATTTGGGGAGTGAACGAACAGAAGGAAGACCTTTCTCTCTGTTTCTCTCCCACTGTCTGTACTCTACCTGTCAAATCAAAAAAAAAACAAAACAAACAAAAAAAAAAAACAAAAAAAAAACAAGTAGAAATTTTGAAGTCTTCAGTCAGAGGTGTAATAGCAGAATAGATCAAGTGGAAGAATTATTTCTGACCTTGAGGACAATAATTTAAAAGTAGCCAATCAGACAAAAATAAAGAGAAAAAGAATGAAGAAAGTCTACGTGAAATATGGGCTACCATTAAACAAAGAAATACTTGTATTATAGACATTTCTGAAGAAGAATTAAAGAAAAAGGCATTGAGAACCTGTGAAGTGAAGTAATAGTTAAAAATTTATTAGGTCTTGAAAGAGACACGGACATCCAAATACAAGAAGCTCAAAGAACCCTAAGCAGACTCAAACAAAAAAGCTCTTCTCCAAAGCATTTTATTGTCATTGTCAAAGGTTAAAGACAAGGAGAGAATCCTAAAGACAATAAGAGAAAAGTGTCACTATAAAAAGGAAAACCAATTAGATTAACATCAGACTTCTCAGTTGAAACCCTACAGGCCAAAAGAGAGTGGGATGATATATTTAAAGTCTTAACAGCAACAAAACTTCCATCCAAGAATATTATATCCAGTGAAGCTATCCTTTAAAAGTGAAGGAGAAATAAAGTGTTTTCCAGATACGGAAAAGCTGAGAGAATTTACCACCCCCAGACCAGCCTTACAAGAAATTGAGGGGTGTCCTGCATTAGAAGTAAACATTATGAAAACACATGGCACCGCCAGATTCACTAACAGAGCAGGCGGAATCATTATCCAGTCAACAGAATGATAGGTCTTATTTCTTATTTATTAATACTAACCTTGAATGTAAATGGAGTTAAATTCACCAACCAGAAGACTTAGATTGGCTGAATGGATAGAAAACCATGACCCTACTATATGCTGCTTACAAGAAACTCACTTCACAAAGATACACACAGACTGAAAGTAAAGTATTAGAAAAAGATACACCAGGCAAATGAAACCAAAAGTGAGCAGGTGTAGCTATCCTGATATCAGATAAAACAGACTTTAAATAAAAAACTATAAAAAGAGATAAAAAAGGACACTATATTTTGATAAAAGGTGGAATTCAGCAAGAAGATATAACAGTCATAAAAATATATGTACTGAACACCACACCACCTGGAGATATACAGAAAATACTATTAGACCTAAAGGGAGAGACAGACTCCAGTACAGTAATAGTGGGTGACTTCAGCACCCCACTCTTATCAGTGGACAGATCATCCAGACAGAAAAACAGTAAGGATGCATTGGAGTTGAAACATGGACCTAACAGACACTTACAGGACATTTACCTCAACAGCTACAGAATACACATTCTTATCAACACATGGACATTTTCTAGGATAGACCACATAAGAGGCCACAAATCAACTCTCAGCAAATTTAAAAAGACTGAAATCATGTCATATATTTTCTCAGACCATAAAAGCACAAAACTAGATATTACCATAAGAAGAACAATAAAACACTCATAAGTACTTGGAAATTAAACAACATGCTACTGAATGGTCAGTGAGTCACTGAAGAAATTAAAAAGGAAATAAAAAACTGTCTTGAAATAAATGAAAATGAAAACAACATACCAAAACCTCTGTGATACAGCAACAGAAGTATTGAGGGGGTTTATAGCATTAAATGCTTACATTAAAAAAAGAAATGTCTCAAATTAGAGATCTAATGATGCATCTTGAAGATTTAGAAAAACAAGAAGAAACCAAACCTGATATCATGTCTTTTTTGCTTCTCATAGTTTGGTATTTTTTAATAAGACCTTCATATATATAATCATATTTAATTATCAAATCAGGAAATTTATATGGATATATAATCTATAAGTCTTAACGTTCATCAGTCCTCACAATGTCTTTTTTAGCTTGTTTCTGGTTCAGATTCCAATCCAGTATGATGTACTTATTTTTCATGTCTCTTTAGTCTCCTTTATTCTGATGGCTCCTCAGTCTTTTATGATACTAACAATTTTGGAGTATATCATTTTAAATTTTATGTGAGAGGCAGAGATAGAGAGCTCTGATCTGCTGATTCACTCCCCAAATGTCTGCAGTGGCTGGGATTGGGCCAGGTGGAATCCAGGAGTAGGGAACACAATCCAGGTCTGCTGCGTTGGTGGGAGGAATTGAGTCACTTGAGCTATCGCCACTGCCTCCCAGAGTCTGCAGTAGTCGCAAGCTCAAGTCAGGAGGAGCTGATGATGTAACTTAAGTACTCCAGCATGGGACACACACATGTGAACTGACAGGTTAACTGCCAGCTTAAGTGACTGCGGTAACGAATGAATGTCACAGAAATTGTCATATTTGGAAGCATTTAGTGTTTTCCATTTTTATTCATTTAAATCTTTCGGTGTAAGGTGTATCCACCAGGTTTCTTCACAATGTTACTATTTTCCCTTTTGTAATGAATTAGTCATTTGTATAGATTGTATTTCTTTTTTTAAAAAAAGATTTGTTTATTTGAGAGAGAGAGATCTTCCATCCACTGGTTCACTCCTCAAATGGGCACAAAAACCAGTGCTGGGCCAGGCCAACGCCACGGGCTTCATCCAGGTCTCCCACATGAGTGGCAGGGGCCCAGGTCCTTGGGCCATCTTCTGCTGTTTTTCCCAGGCCACTAGCTGGGAGCTGGATCAGTAGTGGAGTAGCTGGGACACAAACCAGCGCCACTATGGGATGGCAGGCAGCATTGCAGGAGGTGGCTTTACCTGTTAAGCAACAACACTGGCCCCAGGGGTGGTATTTCAAGACTATGTAAATATCCTTTTTGTAATCAGACTTTTCACCTACTGTAGATAGCTTGAATGTTTCTTATCTTAAATGCTTGGGACCCAGAAGTATTTTGAATTTACACATATGAGTACAGAAAGAGGTATCTTGGGGATGAGACCCAAATGTAAACACAAAATTCATTTGTGTCTTAAATATATCTTAGATACCTGTGTCTTAAATATATCTTAAATTATTTGAAGGTAATTTCATATAATATTTTTAGTGTGCCTGTGTTCTGACTACAACTGATCATATGAGGTTAGACATGAAAAGGTTTAAATTTTGGAATATTTACTATGTTTTACTTTTCAGATTAGGTTAACCTGTAGTTTTTGCATCCATTGATGATTTTGCCAGAATCTAAAGACTTAACATCCATTCCAGCAGACTGGATATGTCTTTTTCACATGTCAGCAGTCACTTTAAATTTGGATTGTTAGGCAGTTCTTTCCAGTGGTTTACCATTCTGAACTACCAGCCAGCGATAACACAATGTGCAGTAGTGTATATAATCTAAATAGCTTTTTTTTTTTTTGAGTCATCAGTGGATATTATTTATTTTAACCTAGAAACCTTTCATTTAAGGTATACAAACTTCATGCATTTCATAAATACAAATTTAGGAACACAGTGATTCTGCCCACCCTGCCTGCCCTCAAAAAGCCTGTGAAACTGTTTTAGGTGTTTACTACAATCTGGCGGCAAGATCTTTCCTCAGTATGTGTTGATGTTTGGGATGCTTGTGGAATCACAGACATTGGTAGAAGAGAGTGCTGTTCAAGGAACAGAGCGTACAATTGGACTAAATATAGCACCTTTTATTAACCAGTTTCAGGTAAGTGTCTAGAAAAGGAAGTTCAATCAAGGTATTGTTACTCAGTCTACCTTATCTTTCATTTTTGTCTTAGTCACTTTGTTTAGCTGGATTAGAATAGTAATCACTCTATTAGGGCAAAGGAACTTACAGGGAAAAATCAACCTATAGTTAGAATAACCAAGAAATATTGTCATGAATACTTAAGTTTGTAGATATTTCTCAGAATCACTGTTATTTTTTATTTTTTTGACAGGCAGAGTTAGAGACAGAAAGGTCTTCCTTCCGTTGGTTCACCCCGCAAATGGCCACTATGACTGGCGTGCTGCGCCAATCTGAAGCCAGGAGCCAGGTGCTTCCTCCTGGTCTCCCATGTGGGTGCAGGGCCCAAGCACTTGGGCCATCCTCCACTGCACTCCCGGGTCCAAAGCAGAGAGCTGGACTGGAAGAGGAGCAACTGGGACAGAACTGGCACCCCAACTGGGACTAGAACCCCGGGGTGCTGGTGCCGCAGGCAGAGGATTAGCCAAGTGAGCCGCGGTGCCAGCCAAGAATCACTGTTATAAATGAAAAGTATATGGGATGCCAGCATTGCAAGTGTTAGCATAACTATATTAATTCAATATATGTTTATTGAATGTCTACTACAATTTTTTTATATTTGGGGAATATGTCTGTGAAACTAAAAAGATGAATTCCTATGTAATGAAGCTGACATCCAAATCAGAAGAGATAAGTCAGAAAATATTAATATGGTAGTGCTATGGACATAAAGCAGGTTAAAGAAAATAGGGAGTAGGCCAGCGCCGCGGCTCACTAGGCTAATCCTCCGCCTAGCGGCGCCGGCACACCGGGTTCTAGTCCCGGTTGGGGCGCCGGATTCTGTCCCGGTTGTCCCTCTTCCAAGCCAGCCCTTTTGCTGTGGCCAGGGAGTGCAGTGGAGGATGGCCCAGGTGCTTGGGCCCCTGCCCCCCATGGGAGACCAGGAAAAGCACCTGGCTCCTGGCTCCTGCCATCGGATCAGCGCGGTGCGCCGGCCGCAGCGCGCCGGCCGCGGCGGCCATTGGAGGGTGAACCAACGGCAAAGGAAGACCTTTCTCTCTGTCTCTCTCTCTCACTGTCCACTCTGCCTGTCAAAAAAAAAAAAAAAAAAAAAATAGGGAGTAGAAAAATGGGATTTTTTTTTTTTTAATTGAAGAGCCAGGCCAAATCCAGGAACCTGGAATTCCATCCAAGTCTCCCCCTTCGGTGCAGGGGTCCAAGTACTGGGGCTGTCTTTTGCTGCTTTCCCAGGGAGCTGGATCAGAAGTGGAGCAGCCAGAACTTGAACCAGTGCTCATATGGGATAGTGGCATCACAGCAGTGGCTCAGCCTGCTGTGCCACAGTGCCAGCACAGGATATACAATTTTATCCAGGTTATGCCTAAGGAAATAACTCATGGATAGTGACTTTATTAAGGAGACTTGAAAGAAATAAAGCAGCAAATCATACACAAGTCAAAGGATCAATAGGTATAAATGGTCTGAGGCAGAAACAGCAAGAAGGAACCATGAGGGACAATTATAAAATGCAGTCAGAGAAGTATTAGAGGCCAGATCTTGTAGACCCTCTTGGCCATCATTATTATTATTTTTTAAAGATTTATTTTATTTGAAAGAGTTACTGAAAGAATAAGAGCCAGAGAGAGAGGGAGAGAGATGTAGGTCTTCCATCCGCTGGTTCACTCCCCAAATGACTTAAATGGCCGGAGCTGAGCTGTTCTGAAGCCAGGAGCCAGGAGTTTCCACTGAGTCTCCCCTGCAGGTGCAGGAGCTCAAGGTCTTGGGCCATCTTCTACTGCTTTCCCAGGCCACAGCAGAGAGCTGGATTGGAAGTGGAGCAACTGGGATTGGAACCAGCGCCCATATACCATATAGGATGCCGGCACTGAGAGCCAGGGCTTTAACCCGCTGCGCCACCTTGGCCATTATAAGGACTTTATCTTTTACTCTGAAATGGGCAGGAGACAACTTGAGGGTATTGATCAGAGGTGTGACAGGATATGACTTTCAGTGGAATCATGAAATAGCATTATTGTAGTTATCCAGGTGAGAGGTGATGGTGACTTAGAACAGAGTAGTGGCAATGAATTGATTTTGAATATATTAAATGCAGGTTTTTTGTTAGATTGGATATGAAGTATGAGATGAGGACACTGTTTTTTTTTTTTTTTTTTTTTATATTGCCGTGGTCAATGTCCTGGAAGAATAGTTTCCATTTACTGAAATAGGGAAAATAGCAGGAAGTCAGGCAGTGTTTGTGTGTAGGAGGCTCATTGAGTAATTGGGTTACGAGTTCAGAGAAAGCTTGAGGCTGAAGCTATACCTTTTGTGGTCAGTGGCATACAATAGTGTTTAATGCCATAGATAGGATAAAATTGCCTTGGAGGCTTGTAGAAAGAGGGCTGATAACTGAAATCCAGAGAACAAATTCCGTGAGGTTATATAGAAGGCATTTGCAAAGATGTCAGCGGGTTAAGGTGAAAAACAGGTACATCTGTGTGGGTGCAGATGGGTGGTAACATGGGAGTCTAGTGCTCTTTCTGGTGACTGACACACAGTATGAATAGAGGCAAATGGGGACAGGCCTGCAGTGAGTTTCTATAGATGGCAGGGAAAGGTCTGTGTATCTGTGTCCTCTGCTTCACTGTGAAAGTTGGGACCATTATTTTATTTATAGAAAGGAAAAGAGTTTAAGCCATACTTTTCTCTAGGTTTCAAATAAGGAAGAAAGTTGAAAGTATTAGTAGAATGTTACTAAAATTGATAAAACATTTAATAGCAGTGGTTCTCAGCTTGGTATACTAGAAACATCTGAGAACTTTGACTGCTGGATTTCAACTCTGGATTCGTGTGGATATGGCATGGCCTGAGCAGCTGGGCTTTTTAAAAGCTCCCCAGGCCATTTTAATTTGCAGCCAAGGTTGAGAACCACTGTGCTGGGGGGAGGGGGAGCAAAAGCAAACCCAAAAACCCTTATTTTCCAAATGAAATCCACTTAGTTTTTGTTTTTAAAGATTTTATTTATTTATTTGAGAGGTAGATTTAGAGACAGAGGGAGAGACAGAGAAAGGTCTTCCTTCTGTTGGTTCACTCCCCAGATGGCTGCAACGGCAGACCTGCGCCAATCTGAAGCCAGGAACCGGGTGCCTCTTCCTGGTCTTCCATGTGGGTACAGGGGCCCAAGCACTTGGGCCATCTTCCACTGCTTTCCCAGGCCATAGCAGAGAGCTGGATTTTAGAGGAGCAGCCGGGACTAGAACCGGCACCCATAGGGGAGGCTGGTGCTGCAGGCGGAGGATTAACCTACTGTGCCTCAGAGCTGGCCCCAGAATCCACTTATTGATGTGGTTGAGTTGCCTATCTTTTCTCAATAGTTCAATACTTAATAGTATTCTCTTATTAGACCATATGAAATTTTTTGGTTTAAAATTTTGGAGCTGATTGGTTTAAATAAAAATTTAATCTGCCATCATCCAAATGAAATGTCTACAGGTAATTGAAACCACAGCATATTATTTAACTTGCCTAAGCCTTGGTTTCTGCAGTTTTCCTGTAAAATTGGAATAATGAAAAAAATCCTTATGCCTTAGGTTGGGGTAGGACTGTAAAAGGAGGTTACAGATGTACAAAGTATTTTATGATACTGAACCAGGTATGAATCAAGCACTTGATGAGCCCTAGGCATAAAAAGAATGAGTTGAAGTGAAGAATTTGTACTTCTTCTAGGTACCCATACGTGTATTTTTGGACCTCTCCTCATTGCCTTGCATACCTTTAAGCAAACCAGTGGAACTCTTAAGACTAGATTTAATGACTCCATATTTGAACACTTCCAACAGAGAAGTAAAGGTAAGGACAACAATGTACAAAATGATTATTGTCATATTCAGAATAATTACCTTAAAATGTTAATACATTATATTCATAGTTTTTGCCTTTTCTTTTGGAGATTTAAATCATTATAAAATTAAACATTTTTAAAATAATGTTTATTTTATTTGAGAGGGAGAAAAAGAGTGAGCAAGAGAGAGCTCCCATCTGCTGACTCACATCCCAAAGGCCTGCAGTGGTTGGGGCTTGGCTGGGCCAGGTCAGGCCAAGCCAAGGCCAGGAGCTGGGAACTGAATCCAGGTGTCCCATGTGGGTGGTTGGGACCCAGCTACTTGAGCCATTTGCTGCTGCCTTCCAGGGTGTGCATAAGCAGGAAGCTACATTTCAGAAGGCAGCCAGGGCTCAAACTCAGACACTCCCATATGGGATGCAGGCACCCCAGCTGGTGGCTTAACTGTGAGGCCAAATGCCCACATCCGTTTTTTGAGCAATATACAAAAGTGAATTTGAGTAAATATTGAATTGGGTGAATAAGTGTATTTTAAAATTTAAAAGAGAAAGAATACTTATTCAAGTCTATCCTGATGAAGTTTTCATAATTTCTTAATTTTCATAGGTCCACATTTGTAAATCTGGACAAGTGACTGCTATTCCATTTTGGTATCATATGTACGTGATGAAGAGATTAGGTTGGATACTTCAAGTGAACCCTCCCACTGGAAACCAAGCTGCAGTTGTTTTAGATAATCCTGTCCAGGTTGAAATGGGACAAGAACTTGTACTAAGTGTTCAACACCACAAAAGCAATGTCAGCATTACAGTAAAGCAATGAAGAGCAGTTTCATAATGAAAACTGTTAAGTACAGCATCAGATACAAAATTCTTACCAGAATTAGTGTGGTTGTAATCATACTGATTGTTTAAGTTAATTCCTTGTAACAACTGTTTTTAAAAGGATATTAATAAACCATATTTCAAAGAACCTAAAGAGAAGTAGCATTTTAAAAAAGTTACTGCAGATTTAATTTTTGGAAAAGGATGCATCATTATAATGTTTCATATTAGGAAACTTTATTTTTGCTCGGTTTTACCCAATACCTTGTCATTGTCAAGTGTAAGAAAAGCAAAACTTTTAATGTTTTAGACATTTATACTTGGGAACATTTAAAAGGATCACATTGAAGACTGAGGGTTAGGTTCACCTGTAAATCCCCAGCTTGCTTCCTATAAATACCCCATGTGCTTCTGAAACATCTCAGGTTTTGAGAAGGCAAATTTGAATAAAAATCTAAGTTATAAGATAAATATCATTGAAGAGTAAAGAAGTTAGGGAAAAATAAATTTTCAGGAGGCGTTTTTTCCTTGTCTAAGGAAAAATTAAGCTGATTAAATTAAATTAGTCCTAAACCACTAGTTTTCAAAGTTTTGCTTTGTAATAAGAAATAGGAATAAGAAAATAGTTGACTCAGTTTTTAAAATCTTTTGAAATAGGGAGATTAATAAGATCATTTTCAGGCATTGAATATGCTGTATGCTTTTTGTAAGCAGGCCACAAGGAAAACTAAGATATTCTTTGCTCTGGGCTGCCTATCCCACATTACCTCTATTACTGTTGAATTACCCAGCTTTACTTCTTTTTTTTTTTTTTTTAATAAATTTTATTGCGTATATGTGAGATACACATGATGTTACAGGATACACATAGACAGTAAAAAGCTTATTAGTGTGAAGTGAGTTCACATATCTACCATCTGGGTTACCAGTCTTGTGTTTCTGTGGCAAGAACAGCTCAAACCTCCTCATTAGCATGAATCCCAAATATAATACAGTTACCTGTTGTTTTCATGTTATACATTAGATCTTCAGATTTGTTCATTTTTACATTTGCTACTTTGTATCTTCTAACCTACAGCAACCCATTTCCTCCCCAATGTCACTGCTCTCCCAACCACTGTTTTGTTCTCTATACAACTTTAGATTTTACAGGTAAGTGAAATCATTTTCACTGTGATCATTTTTCTTTCTGTGTCTGATTTGTTTCACTTAGCAGGTTTTCCAGGCTCATCCATATTGTGGTCAAGTCCCCTTCCTAAAGGCTGAATAATATTCCATTGTATTTATATACCAGTTCCTTATCCATTTGTCTATCAATAGAAACACTTTCTGCACCTTAGCAGTTCTGAGTAATGCTGTACGGAACATGGGAGACATCCATGTTTTACTATGAGGTGGTGACTTCATTCCTTTGCGTGCAGGCCCGGAAGAGGGATTGCTGGATCACGACATAGTCATTCACTTTTAACTTCTTCAGAACCTCCATACTGTTTTCAATGGCTGTGTTAGTCTATGTTCCCACCAACAGTGTTCAGAAGTTGTCTTTTCTTCACACTCTTGCCAACTCTTTTGATATTGTAAATAATAGCCATCCCGATGGGTGTGAGATATCTCATAATGATTTTGATTTGCATTTCCTTGATGACTGATGGTGTTGAGCATCTTTTCGTGTACCTGCTGGCCATGTGTTTGGAGAAGTGTATCAGGTCTTCAGACAATCTTAATAAGGTTGTTCTTCCACAATGGAGTTGTGTGAATTTTTTATAAATCTTAATTTCTTATCAGATAATATGGTTTACAAATATTTTTTCCCTGTTGGTAGGCTGCCATTTTATTTAGCTGATCATTTCCTTTTGCTGTGCAGATCTTTATAGTTTGATGTATAGATGTCTCTTGGTATCTGTAGCCCCTTCCCGAGGATACCAGAATCCAGTGATGCTCAAGTCCGTCATACAATGGCACAGTGTTTACATACAACCTAAATACATCCTCCTACATAATTTAAATCACCTCTAGAGTACTTACATCTAATACAATGTAAATGCCATGTAATAGTTGTTATAGTTTAGGGCGTACTGACAAGAGGAAAAGCATACATTCATGTATATACGAGTTTTTCTTCAGAATATTTTCCATCTGTGGTTGGTTGAATCCACAGGTGCAAAGTGTGGATACAGAAGGCCTACTCTAGTCTGATTTATTGTTTTGCTTTTATTGCCTAAGCTTTAGGTGTGATATCCAAAAAAAAAATCATTGCTAAGGTCAACATTCAAGAGCTTTCCTCCTATGTTCTCTTCTAATTTTGTTGTTTCTGGTCTTACATTTATTCCTTTATTCATTTGGTTAACTTTTTTGTGTATGGTCATAAGGTCCAATTTAATTCTTTGGTATGTGTAAATCCAGTTTTCCTAGCACTATTTATTGAGACTGTCTTTTCCCTGGTATATCCTCTTGGTGCCCCTGTCAAAAATTATTTGACCATTTAGGTTTGGATTTATTTGTGGATTACTCTGTTCCACTGGTCCATTTTAGACAGTACCATTAAAGTTTTATAATTTTATATCAGTAAATGTGATACCTCCAATTTTTTCCTTAGGGTTGTTTTAGCTATTTAGGGTCTTCTATGTTTCTGTATAAATTTTTTTTTTTTTTGACAGGCAGAGTAGACAGTGAGAGAGACAGAGAAAGGTCTTCCTTTGCTGTTCGTTCACTCTCCAATGGCCGCCGCGGCCGGCGCGCTGCGGCCGGCGCACCACGCTGATCCGATGGCAGGAGCCAGGTACTTCTCCTGGTCTCCCATGGGGTGCAGGGCCCAAGCACCTGGGCCATCCTCTACTGCACTCCCGGGCCACAGCAGAGAGCTGGCCTGGAAGAGGGGCAACCGGGACAGAATCCGGCACCCCGACTGGGACTAGAACCCGGTGTGCCAGCGCCGCAAGGCGGAGGATTAGCCTAGTGAGCCGCGGCACCGGTCCTGTATAAATTTTAGAAGTGTGTTTTCTGTGAATAATGTTATTGGGATTGTGCTAGGGATTACATTGTTTATATTGATTTGGGTCATATGGACATTTTAACAATATTAATTCTTCCAATCTGTGAACACAATATCTTTCCATCTATTTGTGTCTTCAATCTTTTTCATCAGTGTTTTATGGTTTTCAGTGTACACATCTTTTATCTCCTAGGTTAAATTTATTACTCTATTTTTTATATGGGATTTCCTTTAAATTTCTCTTTTAGTTATTTCTATATAAAAATGTTACTGATTTTCCTGTTGATTTTGTATCCTGTAACTTTACTGAATTGATTTATTCTAATGAATTCAGTTATTCAAGCAGTTTGTGAAATATTTGGGGTTTTTCTACATGTTGCTTAGTTTTACTTTCAAAAGAAGTATTTGGTAATATGAACAGAATACTATTAACTACTACGAACTAATATATTTAACATCATATAAAGGCATGTTGAATATGCCATATATAAATGTAGTGCATAAAACACATAAAGCAAAGGTTTTGAGTAACTATACTCCTTCTTTCCATATGCAACACTGTAATGGTACTTTTTATACTTTCTTAATATTACAAAATGTTAAACATGACCCAGTTGGTTTTGATTTAACTAGAGAAACCTCACCCTTAAATAGTAACTTTCTCCCAAATAAGACCTACTTTGGTCTGAGTGTGGCTTAATGAATAATTCAGACCACTCAGTAGTTGACAGCTTTAATAGCTCTGAACAAAAGCAGTAATTTAATATTTTCGCTGTGCCTTAATCAAGAAGTTTTTGTTAAAGCATTAAGGGTTTATATTTAAAGAATGAGAGACATAGAAAGTTGCGGGAAAAATGATAAATTATTATTTATTGAAAGACATCCAGTTGAGGAGTAGAGAAATAACTGTTAGGTAAGCTTTTATGGCACATGATTAAATTCCACTAATTCATTTTTCTGGATTATGCCTTCTATTAATTCCAAAGCATTATATTCATGCAGCATGGTAGGAAGCGTTGTTTTAGAATAAATGTCCATCCTCTTGCTAAAGTAATGCGACATCAAGAGCATTTAGTTGGAAGTCATCTTCTACCATTCGAGTATGTGGTATTCTGATGTTCTTAAGTCTAAGTCTAGGAAATTTAGACAGTTTGCAATATATAAAACTCATTTATATAAATCCAATAGTTGTACCTGGTTTTCACCTATCTTTGTGTTGAAATTTTCCATAATTTATGGCTTGTCCCAGGCACAACATCCTGAGCTATGGGAGATACTGGGTAATGGAATATCATGGTTTTAGCACAGTTTTTTCATACTGCTCAGGAGTCCATAGATTTAGCTGAAGGTTCTTTTTTCTCCTCCGTAGCATCCCCAAGTACTTCATCAGATAGCTTGGCTGTAGTAGGAGTAGTCTGGGGAGTCACAGTGTGTCCAAATCCTTGGTAGTGTCCCACTGGTGAAGGTGGCATAGAAGATGCAACAGACATTGCATCTTGTGATGATGACGATAACAAGCTTGTATGTTCATTTTGATCTTGATCCTCAGGAAAAAATTTTTTCCTAGGATGTCCTCTGACTGTTCGTCCTTCAAAGTAATATAGAGGTTTCTGTGTTAGCCAGTTATTTTGACCATTGTAAACTTACCATTCTAAAAAACGCTCCCTATTTCCTCTACCTCCCACCTCTGCCTCTTCCAAATTTGAAGAGCCAATACTATGCCACAGCTTTACTCAGTTTTCTGTTTCGTAAATAATACTTAATTGCCCCTGGCAAAAATATTAATAAGCCACATAACTGGATGAATTAAATGGCTGGTACTTACCAACATGTCTTACTTGTTCAGAAATATCATCTCTAATATCTGAAACATCCCACATGGCAAGAAAGGAATCAAAACAGGAGCCCTCTTCCGCTTCTTGGACATATGGTTTATACGAGAAAGTGTAGTGATGAGCAATAGCAGCAAGGAACATTTCAATACAGATAATAAAGTCCTGTAACAACAACAAAAATATCAGCCATCTTTGGATTTAAATCTAGTTTTTTACAGTGTTTTCTCCAAGTACTTTTCAAAGGCACTTAATATATCAACAGTTTTTTTCTTTTTCCAGATTACATTCAAAATAATTTGGTTTGGACCTTTTCAATAAAGGACAAGATGCCAAAATTTAAATCCATTCTGCACTACTACTGATTCTGTTATTGACTGAATAATCAAATATTTCACAGACCCAAGGGCTAGGAGGAGAAATGCAGAAATAGATCAGAAGAACAGAATCCAGGTTTTATTCCTGGTTCTACTAAAATTCCATAATTATGGCCAATTGGTTCCCTGCTTCCTCATTTGTAAAGTAAAGATAATAGTAGCTCCCTTGCCTGCAGGTTTTATCAGGCTTTATGGAGATATTATGTGAAAATGCTTAACCAGTAGTAAAGTTGAGTTAGAGACAGCACTACTTACCTGGAGTCCTGTAGCCACAGCTTCTACAGTTTGCCATTCCCATGTATGCTTTTCAGAAATAACGCCAACTTTTACCAACAAAGCAATAACTACTGCTTGCCTATATGTTAGGAAAAGGTAAACGCCAAATCTATATCAAGCATAAAATGAGCAGTTGTTTTAAAAGTATGTCATTTAAAAGAGTTAGTCCCCAGTACAACCTGTAGCCTGCTACCACCCTTTACAGCATACTTCAGAAGAAACTGTGTATTTATTTGCTTTACCAACTTCTTAATTTAGTAGTTTTACCAAGTTCATTTTATGTTCCCAGAACTGCAGTATCTTTTTCTGTTTTTAAATTGTACATAAGTGATGGAATTTTAAGTTCTTCCTATACATAGGAAAGGCCTAACATACAATATGTGCTTAAAGTGAAATAGTAGTTACATAAGTGCTGTTTATACATGTATCAACTACACAGAATATCTCTTAAAAGAGTAATTTTGAAACTAGTTCTTGTCGGAAGTCTAGGCGCTACACACAAACGAAAGGGAATCACACTGAGCAGATGGCCCCAAGTGAATTTCTACATCAGTAATAAGACAGATATACTTTCATGGTTCTAGCTACAAAAATACTCACTTCAGTTTTGATTATAATGGTTAAAAAATCAGGAACAATCTAAAAAGTTGTATACACACAGCAGAATACTAAAAAATCCCAAACAGCAAAATCTTCTCTTAACTGACAAAAAACTCGTATCTGCAATACAGTGACCATACTGTGGAGTTCCACACATTTTCACAGTAAGACCATTCCTGTGGAATTTCATACACGACAAACATGCACCACAATGTTAACCATTCTTTTTGGGTGCTGGTTTGTCAGGGAATTTTCTTTGCCCTATTTCATATCATTTCTATCTTGTTACTTATTGTGTTCACTTCTCAGACTCCCTAGCACCCATGCTTTTCCTAAAATGAAGACATGTACAATTCTGTCTTCTGTTTTAAAAACGTTTACTGATGAACATTGCCCCACATTAATAAATATTCTACATCATGTTTTCTTCCAGACCGAAGAGCATTCTGTTAAATGACAGGGCCATGATTTATCTTCTCTAGTATTGAGATATTTAGGTTACCTCAAATTATTTTCTTATAAATGTTATAGTGACCATCTGATTCTTTATGAAAATCCTAATAGTACTAAAGGGATGAACTTTTAAAGTTAGGTGTAGACATTTTAGCCAGCTTCTGACTTGAGAATCTTCAAGCTCCTCCTTAACTAAGTTTCATTGTTCTTTAGAAAATGAGAACATTTATGAGAAAAGCAACACTTACCAGAAAGAAACAAAAACCACCAGCTTTACACAAAGAAATTTGCCAACAGGTTGGATTGGACTCAGTTCTTCCTTTAGTACTTTATAAAATAGCAGGAGACAATACATGGCAAACTAGAAGCAAAATTAACATTTAAACTTCAATAAGAATAGATATGGTAATGAACATATTAAGGTTATAATCCAGAGACCTAATACAGATTCATGTTTTAGGCAATATTTTCTAGTTTTAATTGTGCTATTTTTAGATTAACAACCCTACACAGTTAACTCGAGATGGATATATATACCATCTGACATTTCTCAAAGATGTAAAACATCCTGAAAACATTCTGAAGTGTTCGCTTACTGGGGCCCATAAAGAGAATGATAAACACAGTTGACAGGGATGGAAGAAAAGGTTCTTACTCCCCCAAAATGAAAAAACATAAAAACAAAAACCCTATCTGTAACTGCTTTTAAAGACAACTGACTTTTGTAAGGGGTTAGTTTATTACCTGATTTTTCTTATATATAACATTGCTTATTTATAAGGAAACACATTAGTAAGTTAACACATAAAATAGTTTCACACATTAATAAGTAACACGTAACTACATTTTAAAAAAATTAGGATCCCTGAAAGGTAAAAGTAAAGAATTGGTCAACAGTTTTTCTCAAGGGCAGTAATGTTAGTCCACCTGAATTCACTTTTTAAAATAAATGCTCAAGGGCTGGCATTGTGGCATAGGTTAAGCCTCAGCCTAGAATGCCAGCATCCTAATATGGGTGCTGGTTTGAGACTCGGCTGCTTCACTTCCGATCCAGCTTCCAGATGATGCACTTGGGAAAGCAGTGGAAGATGGCCCAAGTGCTTGGGCCCCTGGACCCACGTGGAGACCCAAAGAAGCTCCTGGCTCCTGAGTTCAGCCTGGCCTAGTCCTGGCTGTTGTGGCCATTTGGGGAGTGAACCAGCACATGGAAATCTGTCTCTCACATTCTAACTTTGCATTTCAAATAAATAAAATAAATCTTTAAAAAAAAAAAAAAACAGCAGAAGATGGGGCAAGTGCTTGGGCCCTTGCACCCATGAGGGGGACCCAGATGAGGCTCCTGGCTTCCACCTGGCCAGTCCCAGCTGTTGTGGCCATTTGAGGAATAAACCAGTGGATAGAAAAAAATCTCTCTCCCTTCTGTAACACTTTCAAGTAAATAAAAACTAAGTCTTTAAAATAAAATAGATGCTGATGACTTCTAGAAATCAGTTGTAATAATCTGTAGTGTTCAATAGCAATAAACATTTTCCTAAAAATTCACTTTTCACCATTAAAAACCATAAAATGCTTATTTGAAATGTTTCAGAATATGAAAGCAGTAATTCACAGTCCTGTCTTGCACCCATTACTTAATCACATATCGATTTCTTGAACTAAATATAAATTTCATTGCCTAATATTGTTTCTTTAAAGTACCATACTTTTCCATTATGTTTCCTAAAGATTTTTTTGAATATTCAGAATTGTAATTGATTTATCACAAAAGCACTGAAATGATGTCAATATAATTTTTAAGGAAAATATAAATTCTAAAAACAGCAGTATAGAAAATAGCATTAAAATGTTTACATACATTTTAACACTTCCACATTGTTTTAGCAAACCCGGCTTTTAAATTTTTAACTGTATTAACCTCTAGGCAATTAAGAGTGCAGATGAAATAATTCTACATAGCAGGCTTTTCTGTAACATCCTACTGCCAGATGGCAATTAAACAGCCATCTGAAGCTTTGGCTTTTTAAAGTAAAAATGCAAGAATCATCTGAGAAAAACATAAGCATATTTAGGTGTATAGTACTAAATAATACCTTCATGTTCTCTGGACCACCAGCCTGAATATATTTACAGCCTTAGTTCTGTTACCATACATTTTATGAAGACTTTGCCAGATGTCTCAGAACAGTAAAGGTATATTTTAAGGAAGCAAAAAATTAACAGATGAAACCAAATAAATCCTGTCATCCACCTTGGTTACATTCTGTTAATGACCTCAATTATCAGTAAGAAGTTCCTTAAAGGTATGCATTTGAGTTTCAAAAAGACGAAAACATAAATGGAAACGGGCTATCTCACTCGTTCCTTACTATCTTCTTACAAATTAGAAAACCAAACACTTTTCATATACTTAATCTGAGTTGCTACAGTTAAATGCCTATTAAGTGAGAATTCTGTATGGAGAATTCAGGAATTACCTTTGAAAACTGGACATGGGAATTACCTGCCTGGGCAAATGAGGATTATTTTTAATAACTGCTAATATTTCAGCCAATGAAAAGGCAACAGTACTTTTAAGCAGTCCCTCACTGGGGCAGGGAATATTTCTAGCCTTCTGCTATTGCAATTAATAGGTTTTATAGACAAAGATCAACATTTCTTCAGAATATATAACATTTTTAAAGCATTCCAGTTTCTAGAACAAGATATATTTTAAACTTGACATTTTCAGTTTTCCTTCCGTTCTAAATACATGGTATCGGAATTTTATTCTCCCATTTTTCTTCAAACTTTACACTGTCATATACCAATTAGATATTTTCTCTTACCAAATATGCCCAATATATGTATTTTGTGTAAGTGTATATTTTTATTTTTTTAGACAGCATTTTGTTTTTATAATTTACCCACACAGCTATGCAATGAATTACAGAAATGTTTCAAACAAGAGATTAAGATCAAGAGATTAAGATACAAGTCACCAAATAATTAACAAATATGTTAGATCTTTACATATGTATGAAGATATGAAAAGTTTAAGTTCTTCCTATGAATTATATTTCAAGATTAAAAAGAAGCAGTTAAGCTTTATCCATGATAAAACTGCTTTAGGGAATTTGGAGCTATAGACACTTAACAGTACAATTAAGGAAAATGAATGTTTACTTACCAATTGAGACATATTGTTTATTATAACCAAGTAAGTCCAAGCATTTGAAAAGCTAAAGTTCCCTTCATCATATATACCAACCAGCTCACAGATTCTGCAAAGTGGTAAAAATGAGACAATTTTGTGATTAATGAAATCAAAGTGTATTTCAAAATGCAGTGATAGTAATACCTACATTTACAAGTCAGCTTGGTAGAATGATCCTATAGATAACTGCTTATTTTGGCTGTGGAGGCAGTTCAAAAACTTAAAGAAAAATGTTTTCCATGGAATGTTGCCACATACTCTTCCAACTTGAAGGAAATCCAAAACAATGCACTTATATTTAATAGCAACGAGTAATTACTAAATTCAGAAGAACTATGCTGCCTAGTTGTTAAAAGCTGGATTGTTGGACACACAGTACAGACCTAAAACAGAGGGAGTTGTAGTTCCCTCTCAGTCGTCTTGGACAGAATTGCATGAAGACCCAGATCCTCTCAAGCATATTTTATGATCAGTATTAAGTTCTATGCTCATCCAGTTTCTAACTCATAGAAATATAAAGCAAAGTAAATTAGACTTAACTGGATTAGAAACTGCTACTCAGTGGCAGATTGAAGAAGTTAATTCTTCTCACCTGCTTTCTCTCCAGGTTTTCCTCTGTGAGCATGCAGAATGTTAGGAAGTACTAGCAGACAAAACATGTAATCTGTCTGCTTTAAATTATTTGATGTTCTCCTATTTTTAGCAAGTATTTTTGCCAGGTGGCTTAATGAATAAACCATTTTATCCTCAAGTTTCAAGCCTTGACGGAATGTTTTTACAGAAAAATACATCCTCTTTCTTGTAGTTTTCCTACTATATTCTAAACTATGTAAAAAAAAAAATCCATGTTATTAACCTAAAATAATGCACATGAACTCCATATAATAGTTTCTGTAAAGCTGTGTGAATATATTCTTTAAAAAGAAAGTGATTTTTCCAAGTGCTTTACAGCAAGCTATAAAGGATGTAGCATGTGGCAATTCTCTGCCTGTGAATGGCCTTATTTATTTTAATAGAGTAGGTTTTCTATGTAACCGATTCTCACAGCACACTAGACCTACATGAAGAACAAGTAAACTAATGCTGTCTGTTTTGCTACTCAGCTGCTGCCATATAAGGAAGAGCTGGAGGATTTTTAAACAGTAAAAATAAAATCTGTGTGCTTACAAAGCAACGATGGTGGTGAATGGTCTGACAACTGTATACTGCAGCACTCCCAGTTTGCACCTAAACAGCAATACTCTGGAAAAGAAAAAGAACTTTAGCAATTCAGCTACTCATTTAAACAGCTTCTGATTTCCCCCAAACTCTCCAAATTAAAATCACTTTGACAAATGATACCACATTTACATTCAGTTATTTCAGTTTAGCAATCTTGTATGGCAGTGAGGGAAGGATGTGGGTGGGTAGCGGCAAACAAATGAGCTAAACATTGTTGAAATTATCTGACAACCATATCCTCTGAAAGATCCCCCTTTTTGGGTACAGTCTCAAATTCCTGCATAGTGCAGCACAGAACAAAAGGAAATAGGTCCGGTGTGTTTCTGCAAGAAAGATCAACTGCATGCATGTGCATGCGTGCCAGAGAGTGAGAGGGAGAGAGAAAGAATGCATTTTTAGAAATTATTATTTACGTTTAGGATTTGGTTTCCTTCCAGATTTGGTATTTAAATATTATAGAGAGTATTCATTCCTCTCTGGATACTCTGAAAGGAAAAAACAAAGATCCTGCATAAAACATATTTTATTCTATCACTGGGCTTACTCAACATAAGGGAAAATTCACAAGGCATACCAAACAAGCAGAAAGCAAAAGTCCCCCAAACAATTCGGCTCAAGAAGCACGTGAGAGTCCTCTTAAACTTCAGACCAAGTTGCTCTGAGGACAGATGCTTTTTGAGCACTTCTGTCAGAACTGGTTATGTGTTGTTGTGTATTATGAATTTCAAACAATTATATGTAGACTGAAAGGACTGAGAGCCTGTTACACAGACCCTGAGGGGTTGCTAGAGGTTCTCTGAGCTGGGAGCCTTCTCGGTGCCGAGGCAGTCCGTTCCCACTTAGAGCTGAGTGTGCCTGGGCTTCCTGCAGGCTCTCCTGAGGCAAAGGTCCTGCCTACACAAGCTACGGTTCACGTCCCGTACTCTTCACACAGCTAAATCCAGTCAGAGCTGGGTTAAACTTCCAGGGTTCTACGAATTAATGTCAATCAAAAACAGAGACTGTTAAGGGTGCCTATGCCGAAGGTATGTGTACAGTGAAGTCAAAGATGTATCTGAATACCCAAATACACAAATAGGAAAGAAAGCTTAGGAGTTATAAGAAGCAGAATAGAACAGAAAGTCTAACACATATTCAGAGTTCCAGAAACAATAGAGGGGAGGCAAAATTTGAAGAGAGAATGAGAAAGTTTCAGAACTGAGGACAGACACAGAACCCACACATTAAGGAACATTGTTAAGTCAAACAGGACTCAAAATGAAAACCAAAAATGACCCAGACACTTCTAGTAAAACTGTAGACAAAGCAAGGATCTTCAGTGTGATTGGAGATAAGGCATTTATAATGAATTGACAATCAGATGGACTAAAGCCAGAATTAGATAAAGTCTTCAAAGAGATTAGAGAAAATACCATTCAACACAGAAATGTATAATCAGCAAAACTAACTTTAAATAAGGGCCAGTGCTGTGGCGTAGCAGGTAAAGCCACCGCCTGCGGTGCCAGCATCCTATATAGGAGTCAGGTTGAGTCCTGGCTGCTCCACTTCTGATCCAGCTGTCTGCTATGGCCTGGGAAAGCAGCAGCAGATGGCTCAAGTCCTTGAGCCCCTGCACCTGAGTGGGAGACCCAGCGGAAGCTCCTGGCTCCTGGCTTCGGATCAGGACAGCTCTGGCCATTGCAGCCAATTGGGAAGTGAACCAGCAGATGGAAGACTCTCTCTCTCTCTCTCTCTCTCTCTCTACCTCTACCTCTCCTTCTCTCTCTGTGTAACTCTTTCAAATAAATAAACCTTTAAAAAAAAATGAGGGCAAAATAAATATATCTGACAATGTCATTTAAGGCAGCAAAGAATTTGTAAGGGAACAAAGTTTAAGAACAAAATGATCATAACTGAAAGATCTGAGATCAAGAAGTGAGGAATAATTGTTAAACTTGACAACTTAAAAACTATCCAAAAATGTTACCTAAATTTTAGATTTTTAAGTAGCTGCAATAAAATTTAAAAATTTAAACAGTCATGGTAAAAAGAGTAGGAGTAGAAAATATAACTTCCAGAACAGTAATGAGAAAAAGAAATAGAGCAAGAAAAACAACAATGAAAGAATGTTATTAACCGTCGGTGGCTCTGTAGCAGCAGCTGTGATCGGATACAAGAGGTATTCAAAACATTCAGGGAAAATGTGTCTTATGAAAAACTTCATGGATTTCAAAACTGTTTTTTGCATCAAGATGCACATTTTTGAATTCAAATTTTCCACCAACTTTGTGAAGTACCCTTGTCTGGCTGCAGTGAAATGTGTATCTTCCTTCATAGTTAAAAGTCACATTAAGATTACAAGTAGTCAAACATTATAAATAGATGCGATTTTGCCCCTAGGTGAGCTTTGTAAAGTTTTTGGTTTTCAAGTTTTTTACATTTTAGATTAACATTTAACTGTAGGTGCTATAAAACTGATTTGTTACATTATTTGTAATCCTCTAATGCTTGAAAAACTTTAAAATTATATATAAAAATTCTTGTTAAACAGAGGAGCCTTCTCAAACTTCTTATACCTTCTCAAAGTATTAAAGAATAATTTTAAAAAGAGGCTAAACACAAAGTAGATTTCCGGACTGGACACTGACAGATAAAAGATAATAGTAGAAATCTGAACTGCATGTGCAGTTAACAGTATTGTATGACTGTTATTCTGACAAACCTGATGGTTAACTTTAGGTGCCAGTTCAACTAAGGGACACCTAGGGAGCTGGTAAGGCACTGTTTCAGGGTGTATCCAAGCATGTTTTCAGTGCGAGTTGTGTGTGAGCGGGGAAAGATCTGTCTGTTTACGTGGGCAGGCACTGCTGAATTGGCTGGGGCCCAGGCAAAACAGAAAGGCAGAGGAAGGCTGAATTCTCTCTAAATAAGAAAGAAGAAAGGTTGTAAATTAATGAAACAAGAATCCAACAGGAAAAGAGTTCAGCAGAGCAAAATAAGGGGCAGAAAGGAAGTAAAACAGAACAGATAGTAATGAAATTGAAAATATACTACAGAGAACACCAACAAAGCCCAAAGCCAGTTCCTGCCCAGAGTAGTAAAGATGGGCAAACTTCTGGCAAAGATTTATCCTGGAAACCAAGCGATGCGTACAGTTCATGTTAGCGATGGAAGGAGAGTCGTAACACACAATCCAGAGAGACTGAAAATATGATCTAATGGATGTCCATAAATTTTAAAACTTTGCCAACTCTACCTAATTCCCTAGAACTTTAATGGTTTAAAAATGATTTCAGAAACTGTAAGAATCCTAAATAACTCTATCATTGTCCTGGCTGCTTCGCTTCTCATCCAGGTCCCTGCAAGTGTGCATGTGAAAGCCGCAGAAGATGGCCCAAGTCCTTGCACCGATGTGGGAGACCCAGATGAAGCTCTTGGCTCCTGCCTTCAGTCTGGCCCAGCCCTGGCCATTTGGGGGAGTGAACCAGGGGATGGAAGATCTCTGCCATTCCGCCCTTCAAGAAAATAAAATAATAGAAAAATGATGCCAGTTAAGAAAACCATACCTCATTTTAGAGTGCCTACTTTTGATATCGCCTCCAGCTCCTGACTCCAGCTTCCTGTTAATTCTGACACTGAGAGGCAGGGGTGATGGCTCAAGAAAATAGGTCCCTGCCACCCATGTGGGAGACCTGGGGATTGAGTTATTATATCCTGGCTCCTTCACTCGCTCAGCCTCAGTCATCACAGGCATTTGGGAGTAAACCAGCAGAGGAGAGAGATAGCTTTATCTCCTTTTCACTCTGTCTCTGTGCCTCTCAACAACAGAAAGCCATTAATCTACTTTGCCACAATAATAGGCTAAAGAAAAACCATGATCATCTTGACACAGAAAAAGCATTCAATGCATTTAATGAAATTTAACTCTTATTCATGATTAAAAACTAGCACAACGGGGAACTTAATTAACCTGATAAAGGAGTCCTAAAAACACCTTTAGAAACATGTAATTCAATTGTGAAATTTTATAGGAATTCCCTTGAAAATTCCAGAATGATAAGAATGAAGATATTCACTTAGAGTGAGAAGAAAAAGAAATGTAAAAGGAATGTGTGGTATGAAGACTAGAGAGGAAACAGACTCTCCATTTTCAGTTGACTATATAAAGCAAAAGATCTATAGACTATGTAAATTTAGTAATATTTTTAGATATAATATTTATATGCAAAAAATAATTAGACTTTCCACACATGGGCAGAGGCTAATTTCTAAAATAGATTCCATTTAGAGTAGCAATAACAAGTCAATAAAAGATGTGTGAGACCTTCATGAGAAAACTATGTTGAAAGATACAAATAAAGAATAAGTGGAAAGACCATTTTAATGGCTAAGACCCCCCAATCATGAAGATATCAATATGCTAAAGAGTGAATTTGCTTGGAATAAAAAAAAAATCCCAGTTAGTTTTTTAAGCAATTGCACAAGCTGACGAAACATTTGTGTTTAAGAGCACAGACGCAAGAACAGCCAAGGTAACAGAGCTGGGGCACCTGCCCTTCATGTTAAGCTTTAGTAATAAACTATATAGCTAATGTTTGGAATCAGTCTAAGGATAAAAAGGTACCCAATAAAACAAGAAAAAAAAGGACCACCACAAACATCTAAATGTGCTTTTTGTTAGCATGACAAAATATCTGAGACAAGCTATCATGAAGAAAAGTTTATTTAGCTCATGGTTTTTGGAAGCCAAAAGTCCCGATGGCATAGTGTAGGTACTGTGGTGAGGGCCACTCTTTGGCTGCATCACTGCGTGGCCCAGATAGCAAGGGTGAGGACATGTGCAGGAGCAGGCAGATCACATCTTGAACCAGGAACAGAGAGAGCTGGATGGGGCCAGGTTTGTTCCTTTATAACAGCTCTCTCAAGAGAACTCACAGGATGCACAAGTACCTTGACAGCAGGCCTCCAAGGATCTAAGGACCCCCTGTCAAGCTCCCATCTTTTAAAGGCTCCACTTTCCACGGTAGTGCTACCTTGGGGAC